CGGGACCTTTTGTGGCGTCTCCCGCATTCAGGCCATGCACCCAGAGTTGTGGAGGTCGACGCGACGGGGAGTGTTGTGTTCGCCGTACTTTGTCAAGACGACCTTGGTGTCGGCGTTGTGTGCGTTGCGAGCCTAATCTTATGCGTGAAGACGGTAACTTTCTCTGGTGTCCTCCCGTGGTGGAGGTTGTTGAGTACACCGGCACTTGAGTTTCTACTGTGTGCGCATTTTGTGGCGGCGGTTTTCGAATAAGCCTCCTCTCTGACTTACACTACATTTACCATGTGTCATTTTTACTCGTTACTGTCCTCGGAACACTAAAAGAGACGATTTTCACATAACCAGTGTCACCCAGCGCAGCTGATTGTCGCTAATATTTTGTATTATACGTCAGATGTGCCTATCCGCCTTTTTATTATGCTCAATGAAATTTTAGCTATAGAGAAGGACCTGTGGTCTGGGGTTTGTGGAGACATTTTCTCTTTCACCGCCTCTTCGCCCTCCTTTTTCTTACCCGGCGTTCTGCTCCTACTCGACCTGCTTCCTCTCCCATTGCCTATCAAGACTCTGCGAACCCTGTCGGTATGCGATCGGAAGGCTGTAAGTCAATCAGTGTGTTGAAAAAGGTGGCAAAGAGTTACCGTGGTGTGCAATCAAAACGCAATTTGCCGTAACTGTAATGTTGAGTTAAGGTTAATAGTAAAGGCGTCTGGCGCATGGCTTTCTAAGGCTGAAACACGCATCGCCACTAGACCAACAGTTTACCTGCTGACTTCGTGTTCCTTAGCTTGATGAATAAACATCAAAGCATGTGTGTCAGCATCAACGTTACCATTGTAGATGACAGCCTCACGAGACTGGTGGTGTCGTCACTTGTCATGTCTTTCTGTCGAAGTATGCGGTCTTGTTGAATTGCTGAGTCCCAGCCCTCCAGGTGGACCACTGCACAGTGCCCTTCGGCGCTTTGTTGATCGTGTGACCAATCTTGGCTCTACCAACATTGCACTGATGCTCGCAAACTCCGCTCTTGATACCTGCCTCGAGGTCTGCGCCGGAAACACTTCGAAGAGTCCTGTGGCCTCCTCGCCTTCGAGGGACTTGAGTGGGGAACAACAGCAGACTGGAGCGAAAGATGATTCCACTTGCAAAGATCAGACAGGTGATGGAGCGAGGTGAGTAGAAGCTCCTTTTAAGGCGCACTTTATGCACCAATGTTTCGCAGATCGTTTTTCCCACCTACCACAACATCCCAGTATCTTTGTCATTTTGTGGTTACCGTATTTACGCCACACGATATATGTGACGGTTTTGTAACTCTTTTAGCACAACCGAACTGAGTTTGCCACCGAACATTCAGACACTAACGGTAGGAAGCACCTTGGTTCTGGGTGCACAAACGTCTCTCTGTCTACAGGGGCAACCTTCAACCTCCGCATGTGCCACAACGAACGAGGATCAGTTCACGAAGATCCAATTTTGTACTGTTGGAGACCCATCGGAGATAATGCACTCGTTGTCACTACTTTGCTTTATCCTTCAACATCCAGTTTGCAAACAGGCCTTCCTTGACATTCTTTACAAGGACTCACTGTAGGTTTCGTGCCTTGAAAGTCAGACTGTGACTCAGTGACTTAGTGGCTTCGTTGATTCACATAGGAGCCGAACGAGTTTTGATGCGCCCAATTCGGTCCTATGCTGGACTAAGTAATTTGATTAGATTGCGAAATTCCATAAGGCGATTTAGCACTGACGACCTGTGATTATGCTTAGCACTTAAACCTGTTTTCAGGGGAGATGGGTCATTGTGAGGCCTCTAATTGGATTGGTAAAGTGGTGCTCAACAGGTTGTGGAGTGCCGAAAGCAGTGGAGGCTACGACAGATAATTACTCCCTGTCTTGTTTCATCTGTATACTCTATTAAACTCCATTGATAACGTCAGTTGCGTCGTTTTGAAACACACAGGCAAGCTGGTGGTCGAGTCAACAGCGAACAGACACCAACAAGAGGTCAGCGTCTTCTTGTGGTTTTTACGAGCATCCTGGAGGCCTACACAGACAGTCGATCGCACGTGGAAGTTCAGACTAAGTTGATTGTAAGCAAACACCTCACTGAGCTTTGTATTGAATTGAAGAATGCTGACGTGGCTGTCTCATGTTTGCAATTGCAGGACTGCATTGATTGTCTGCTGGACCCGAGTATAGGCATGGAAGAGCCTGATTCAACTCACAGACAAAGCCACTCTACATTTGACTTCGCTAATCATCTGCCTCCGATAGGGTGGTTAATGGACATTGTGGCCGGCATTTTGGCTCACTTAGATCATCCAGAACGGGATTTGGTTTCCGTTCCTCCGGTGCTGCGCGTTCTCTACCGCCTCTCTATGAGCGACTTTGGCTTCTCTATTGTCCAGAGGTAGATATGGGACACTTTTTATGGGTTTCGTTTATTATTACGATTGGGTCCTGAAAGATGAGTTTTATACGACAGCAGGAGAAATAGTATTTTGAAATACGAACTTTTTTGCTACGACTGGGTGTCATTTTGCACTCTCTGCTTTTATCCTCTTTTTGAGTTAGCATCGTTACGATTTAATTAAAATTACTTATTTGAGCCTATTTTCTTCGCGTTTGAATTCCATTTGCATATGGTGGGGTTCTATAAACCAAAATACTGACGTGTTATTTGCGCTTCAGGTTTTTGTTTGTTTTGTTTTTCTCTTATCTTTCTCTGCCTTATAACCAATCAAATGCTATTAAGAACACTGCCATGCACGTCTTTTTCAGGCAGTTAAGCATCAAGAAGTACGAACGTGTATTCGCCAATGTCCTCCAACGAGTTAACGACTCCTTTAGTGCAGAAAACCCTGACTGCAGGGCAACCCTCAGTTTCTTTCTGCTTCTCGTGAGCGCCCTTTTGGGGGATCCAATTTTTGCGGAAGAGGCCAATCTGGCAATCGGCGAGGAGACTTTGATTTCCCCTTCTCCCACAACTAGTGGTTATCTAAGTGAGCGAGAACTGCGTCTATCCACACTGCGACTGAAGCAACTTCTCTGTTGGACTGAGAAATGTGGCGAAAAGAGGACCGGCAACCCTATTGAGGATTTGACCTCGTGCCTTGATGTAAGCCATGTCATCAACTCCTTGTATTCGCATTTATATGATGCTTTTACTTTGGTCTTTTCATACCTTTGTTAGTATAAGCCAGTCGATTCATAACTCACAGCCTTTGAATTGCTCGAGTTTGCATATATTCAAATAAATAAATACTTGTTGTTGCAGATTCTGGCAAATGAACAATCCTCCTTGCGACCCCTTCGTGAGGGCATGAAGAGTCTGCTACATCTTCTCGCAGGGGTTGAGGACATCTGTGATCAGACTCATGACGACTTCGACTCGCAGCCGATTCCGCCTCCCAGCCTTCCTGAACCAGTAGGCTTCACCAAACTCTTTGCCCTCTCAGCATGCAGCGAAACGTGTAGTGTCAACCAGTCCGACGATTTGGCAACTTCTCGCTCGGCCCTCAAGAGTATGCTTCTTTTGCCCTCCTTGAAGTTTGAAAAAAAGCACCATCTTGGGTTAAAAACACTCAATCTGAGTGAGTACGCCGCAGAGATTTGCCCCGGAATCGATTTGAAGCTGGAGCTGGCGACGTCAGCAGCGTTTGGCCCTCGAAAGCGCCACAACTATGATATCGAAGCGACCATCCAACACCAGAGACGGCGGAGGGGGCAGGCCTCAGCCATCATTCAGACCGGAAGGTCTGCCAAGAAATATGGTGAGATTTTGCTTCGAGCACTCTAAGTTCAATTACCCACCACGCAACCTTATGCGCCTCACCCTCCATCCTCATAACCTGGATAAAAGTCATTCTCTTTCTAAACAAATTAAAAGGTAACCTGTCTCATTCACAGAAAGGCTTTTCTAGGTCGATCGCTGCTTGTCGTTTCTAATTATCCCCCTTTTTTTCATCTGTTCGCCTTTTGTAGTTGTGGTCTTTTGCAGAACCTGTCCAGCACGACATGAGACGACATTTCTCCGACCCCCACAACTTCGTCCCATTTTTGCAGATAATGCTAGAATTGAATTCTTAAATTAGCAAAACTAGACTACACTAAGGTCTCTTACTTACAAATTTTTTCATTCAAAGGAACATCAGTCTCTGTAGGATAACTAACTAGGGACTAATGTCCTTAGGTAATCATGGAAGCCCGGTTCTTGGGAGTTCGTAACCCTCCTACATAAATGCGCCGCTGTTCAGGTGTCAGAGGTAAAATGCGCTACAGCACAGGCGCCTCTGTTCATTTTGAAACTACTACTATTAATACTACTACTACTACTACTCGCGTCGGTGCTGAGGGCGAAAGACACTGTGGAGAATAGTACATTTTCCTAATGCAGTACATTAAAGTACGCGAGTGTGTATCACAATAAGCTTTCCTTTGCATGCTTGACGCTCAAAAATACTCTGTCATTTGTTTGCACATGCACGACTATTTTTTCCCAGTTGCCCCAATGCGTGGTCGGGGATTTACTATTCGACAGACTGCACCTTCCGCAGGTAGCGGGTCCAGCTTGTTGGGACCGGGTCTGCTGGGTGTCGGTGCTGGAGCTGGTAGTGCCGGCGGGCGGGCAGACATTTTTCGCTCGAGGCCGCAAAACACCAGTCGACCTCCAAGCCTCCACGTGGATGACTTCAACAAGCTGGAGAAAGGCGAAGCTGAAAGCCATGAGGTATTGCACTTGCTACTCTAAAGTTGTGGGTAGCGTGTTTTTGATTGATTTTCACTTGGCGTGCCACAACCAGTAAACCAGTTTGGGTGTCTCTTGACATCACATCGTCAGGTAGCGCATTCGAGCCCCTCTAGGTAGACCCTCACGTTGACATAAATTTCCCCTATGCCCACTTCACTGCCACCTCTGACTTCATAGAACCTCAGCGTAAACCTTGCCCCACTTCACCATCGACTAGATCTCTTTTTTTAGGATATTACAGAAATAACACTTTCGACCAGACTTATTTTAATTAACCGTCTTGGTCACCTTTACCGTCAACGACAAGCGTAATCGACAGGACCAGTGCTCGCGGGAACTGGTTGGACACAATCAGTTAATTTTAGACTTAAGTTGATTTCTACTGTCACACAAGAACCAACCTTCGATGCCAGGGTTGCTACGCCTACCTTGCTCCAAATGTATCCTTGCGTTCCAGGAGTCAGTGAGGTTGACATATAAAACAAAATGAGCCGTTTGTTTTTGTAGCCGTCTTATGGACGGGATGGAGGAATTCGTACTCTCCGTGATGGCTCAGCAGCAGCAGCCAGAGGTGAGGTGTAATTTTCTAAGTCACCGTACCCCGTTGTAAACTGATTGTTAATCCTTATTACCCCAGGTCTTGCTTGATCTTGCTGAATGTGCATCTTTAATGCAGGGGGTCGTGGGGGCGCTATAGCCGGCACCGGTAGCGGAGGCAGAGTCCTCTCCAGCCTGCCGTTCGTCGGCGCAACTCCAACTAGCAGCATACTGCCGACGCCGGTCGGTGCGTCGCCTGCCAACCTGCTTCAGTCGTGGGCCGCCGGCGCCCGGTCACTGTAAGTTGCTCCAACCAACTCTCTGAACTCTCCTGTTGCCTCACCTTCTACGTACTACCAAAACTGGTCCCTCTGCCTACTGTCCAGCCTTAAAGTCCTGTATAATCCATTCGCCTACTGTGGGTTTCGCATCATAGGCTCGCTGCTCATCCACTTTGCCTTCTCCACCCCCCCATAGCAACAATTAACGCTAGTGCTGACACTCACCGGGTACTTTATTGCCAACCCAGGGAACAACCCCTGATCACGAGCTGCCCTCAAATCTGCAGCCGGTCGCCCAGAGGTGTGACCGGTGTCTAACATCATAACCCCTATTGGAGATGCTCGGTCAAATAGATGCTAGCGCTAAAATCTTTAGTCATTTTGTGTTTTTATCATCAAAATCTTGTTAAAGTAATACGCATTACGTTTATTTAGTGTTTAGTTTCTTTTTTCACTGCCTTGGGACGTATTTCGGATGAGTTTTCAAGTCTTATTCGTGAACATCGGCTTGGTAGCGACCGTTATGCATATGACGTTCGACATAAATGCACTTTTTTACTTTCGTGAGCATCTTGTTGTGTGGTTGCACAAGTAAATTCAAGTGATTTTGGCAAAACTTCACACTTTCTTGATTTCGCTGTTTTGCCTGCCTGAGTATGCGCTCGTGAAGTTGGCACAGAAAGCAGATGAATTCCAAAGCCACCCTAGCTACGGCCGCTGTCAGCAATCCAGTTAGTTGTCACTGGTTCGTGTCTGTGCGATGCTCGATTGTGGGTGAGAATGCTGAAGAGCCCTCTGACATGCCGGTCGAGTATGCCCGTAAATGAAACCGACTGCACCACAGAACCGCCAAGTCGTTTGATCGCGTGGCAAGTAAGCTCCTTCTTCAAGCCGCCAGAATCACCTTAGATTGAGGCTCCTGTCACTGTCGACCGCAATCTTTTTTTGAAGTTACCTTTCATGAGACCTTGGTGTATTATCGGGATACTTTCAAGCTCGGTTTCCCTATGCTCTTGTGCTCGCTTGACGGGCTCCGCCCACGATGTTCTAGTGAATCTACCCCACCTACGTCAGCTTTTTTTGATTTTGCCTTGTTATGCCATTTTCTAGGAATCTTCTACCTCTCACAAACCCAACTGCGTCAGGACGACCTTCCAGTGGAAGTTTATTTCCTCCCACGTCTTGATCGACTCCACTGCGGATTACCCCGTGTCGTGTAAATAGGCGATGCAAACACTTCTGTCAATTTTGTACTTCAAATGCAATACATTCGAACCACAGTGCCTTCTCATGTTCTGCGTCCTTAAAGTGAAGCACCTGAGGACAATACTGTGGTGAGAAGCGAGAGTTCGTTTGGACTCACTTGAAGCGTGCAATCTTGGCGTTTTTAAGTTTTTACTGAATTTATGGCAGAAGCAATCGGAAAATAATGTTGGGCCATATTTGAAGGCGATAACGCTCATTTAGTGCGGAGACCTCGGTTTTCTCAGTCGTTGTGGGAGAGCTCTAGTACGTTCCCAAGGCCAGATTCGAGTTATTGAGGCTATTTCCCTTTTTGACGGGTCAATGACTGAATCAGCGGCTTTAAAGCGAAATCTGGATTTTTCTTGTTCTGCGTCCTTACTCTGTGTTTTTAACCTTTCAAGTTCGTCTTAGCTTAGATTCCACCTATTATATGTACTTTGAACTGGTATATTTCATGGTTTCTAATATCTTAATTGCTTTGCCTCATTTGACTACTGAGTGTATGATCTTCGTTGGGTGAGTGAATCAGGTACATTAGTATTTGAAGACGCCGCGGCTTATCTTTGTTTGGCTCAACTACGGTGCTGTAACGATTGTTGCGAGATGAAAAACCGAAATAGTCGTCATCGGCTTAGCCACACAACACTGAACGCCATCCGCATAACCGCGTTAGTCCCCGTCGGATTTATTGATCGGCAGGGCACAGGCCTGTGTGCGCTGGCACGCACGCCTTCACGATCCTCCCGTGTCCGTTTCGCGTGTGTGCACACGCGCAACCCACGCACGCACCGTCCCGATGACAACCCCACGCTTCAAGGTTGGCAATCAATTCGGGAACTATTAGCTTCTAGACCGGGATGGGTGCCATGGTTTCATCACTGCGGCTCCGATGCAAGAGGCCTTAAGCCCCTGCCAGGCTTGTTAAGACCCGGAACATTTCATGAACACGCATGGGAGTACATAAAATTCGATATTTTTCACAGACATCGCTATTTGTGACACTATTTGTCTGAGTGTATTGCCGTTAACATGGCATACTGCGTTTCCTTCAGGATTACACAACCTTTTGTTCGTCGTTGAGAGTTAACTAGGCTAAATTATGATATGAGGAATTGGTACGGCCTTAGCTAATGAGCCCTGTTTGGCAGCACAGTGATGTCTTTTTCACAGAATGCCTACCGTAGTTTTATTCGTTAGTTCCTCGAAGGATTGTGCAATGCATAAACTAAATGCAATCTTTCAGCAGACGAAGTTGTTTACGGTATTCTGACTTGACATCTGGGCAAAACAGAGGCGATCTTCTTATGTGCGTGTGCGTGTCCTGTCACATATCTGGACATTGTGCTGATAAATAAAAACATTCAACCTGTGAAATTTACTTCCTACCATCTTCACTTTCGTCGCAGGGGGTAAACGTCATTTTAACTTACAATTAGTGTTATCTGTGGTGATGCTGATAATAACAATTAGTACTTAGTAAATGCCTTGTCGGGAGTAAAGCACTGCACTTTCATGGTTCTGAATGCAATAGGACTGTGAAAGTAACAAAGTTACTGCGGTCTGAGCTCCAATAAACCCCCAGAGATCACTTGGGGATTGTGCTAACTGGTGGCAACACATGAGAACTAGAACAGCATCTTGGACGCGTAAGGCAGTGTGATTTCTTAGTGGTCTAAGTAATTTGGTTTTATTATATGATTTGCCAGTGCTGGATGAGATTACATTTCGAGCAGGGCGCAATCAAAACATGCACGCTGCAAGCCTGTGTGCAGGGGGGCCTGGTGCAAGCTGACGAAGTCCGGTAATCTGACCAATCGTAAAGATGTTGCCTAATAGCATGGTGAGTTGAATGTGCAACATCAAAGCACTCACTAGGTAGGAGCCACTATCCAGGTTGAACCTTTATGCTAATTTTCTATTGTGAACTCTATAATTTTCGATCTTAATCCATTTCACGCATTATTGTAATGTTTGGTTTCCCCTAGGTGATTACCCAATGACTGGCTTAAAATACGGTTCTTTGTAGAGAGGAATATTGGTTGGCGTCAAATGCTCTTTTATGCGCGACGAGCTAAAGTGACCTCATCCGATTCCCGCTAGGCTCTGTTTAGTCTGGCATATTTGCGAAACTAATTTTGTGAATAGAAAATTCTCTTAAAGTCAAGTTTTGTGTTGTCAGTGACGAATTAACATTTAATCAGCGTGGATCTGACTCGACTTTCAGTTCAGCCTGATTTAGGACGACGGTATCTGATGGAGGAACTTGTTTTACTGCTTCAATTGCAATCGATCGCGCAAATTTACTGCTCCCTGCAACCTAGATGTTGACGGAAGTCATAAAGTCGACCTCCTTGGTTTTCAGAGCAGACTTTGATTGTAAGTTTGACCGTGTTTTTAGAAAACACGTGTGCTCATTCGCCTGGACTCCACGTTTCGCGTCGTGTTTTCATTTCCACAGTGGAGATAAAGTTCAATGACGTAGGATACAAACTTCTTACTGAAATGATTTAATGTCTTCTTAGTACTATGAACGCACTCCAAATGTTTTGGTGGTACAACACTCGTCTTTTCATTAAAACCACTCTGAGTTTTGGTATGACTGAGGCTGGATTTCTAACTTTAAACAATATTCAATGCTTGGTTCCCGCACAACATATAACCGCCCCAAATAATGCTTTAGACTAATCTAATTTATCGCATTTACCAATGCCTTCGGTTGATTTTCTTGTGGCCCGAGTCCATCACTTGCAAGTTTGTGTGCCCTGACCCATTGTTACATTTGTTTCTTTTTGTCCCTTACCTTTACTTTCATGGAATTTCAGCTTCGACTATTGTTCCGACTTTTGTGGTAATGGGCAGCCGGATTAGAATCCTGCCGTGCGCTGACACCCGAAAAACCAGCACAGAAAGGCAGGGGTGGACAAAACCGCAGTGATTTCTCCGCAAGTCACGAAATGCGCCGTTGTGTGCATATGCGCGCTTGCGCACGCACGCACGCGTGTGTGGGCCTGTTGGCTGAGGTCTTACGAACCGAGGTGAATCACACGACAATAGACTTGGGGCAAACCTCTTCGGACAAGCTTTCGTCCATATGCGCCCCAAGTTTAACTAAATTAATAAACTCGAGAAACTTCCGTTAGTTTTTGGTGTTCACTTATGCTCCAGTGCATTAAGGATCAAATGCTAAAACGATTGGAATTTGTAAAAACATGCGTTGAAGACTGCTACATTGTATGAGGTGTGTTAAGTTTGTTTTTTTGTTGGATGCGTGTGTTGCTTTTCTTCTGGAAATTAAGACAATTTACGTTAGTTGTACGCAAATCTTGGCCAATTCAAACAGGTGAAGTGAATCAGCTTTCAGTTGAATCCACTGCCTCGATTTAAAGAATGGATGGAACTGGTGCAGCAATCGGACTGGAATTGTAATCCCTTGTCTCCAGGTCGTAATACCCGGTTGACGTTGATGACCGGAAGAAACAGTGCAGCGATTGGGCTGCACTGTAAAACCGGGTTTTATTTGTTCTTAAGCCAGCACCCAGTTAGTGGCAACTTGATCCGGTTCACCAACGCCAACTGCGCGGAGTGATATGCAAAATGGACGGATCAGGGATAAACCAGTGGTAAAAACGCAGTCTTACCTATTGCTTTCAAGAAGATAAGCTCACACAAGTTTTAACTAAATATGTAGGGTATACAAATCTCTTTGATTTTCTAGTTAAAAATGGCATTTGATCTAAACTTTTCTACGAATGTTCGTCCCGTTTTGGCCATCATCGTCCGCCTCCCAGCAGACTGCTTGCATTCTTCTGGTGACACCACGATGCTTGCAAGGCAGTCATTAGCTCCTGTTTACACAGACGACAAGCCAGACGTTTCTCTTCTGTTCCACTGATGTGAATAGGTAGTGGTGCAAGGTATCAACATCTAAGTAACGTGTTGGGCGACTCAGGACTTCCCAGCCCAAATTCCCTCTCAAAAGGTCCTGGCTGTTAACAGTAAACGCTTACAACTGTTTCCTTACTAAGAAGGAATGACACAATGAACCCGCGAAGAAAAAAAGACGAATCGGAACGTTTGAAAACGCATTTGTATTTTCTTTAAAAATAATCATTGTAAACAGTAAATGTAAACAATAAGTATGGAAACTCACCGCTTTGTACACTTTAAACGGCATGCAATGTGATTGGCGCTCGTTTAGTGAGTGGCGATCAGTGAGAAACGGAATCAATGCTTACTTGTAAATATTGCACTGGCGCTATAGAGTCCTGAGTCACTATTGCTAACTATAACACCATTTGGATTAATCAACCTTCGACGTTTTTGAGGGCGAACAATGTACACCCCATTCGGTGATGTACAATGATGGTCACCTGTTAAAGTTAATTGGGACTTACAGTCTCATGATGGTTGATTCATTTTAAATGCGTCTACAACGACATTAACCACCTTTGATTTGAATGTCAGCTGCCTATGTGAGCAGCAACATCTTTCTTGGTGTTAACTAATGCATGAATACAGTCGCCTTCGGTGGCAGTTTGCTGGATAAATGGTTCTTAAACCTGAAGAAAATCGACTCGCAGATGGCTGCACGCTAATTTGGGCTTCCAACCGAATATCGATTAAGGAACGAAATCCTCATTTTTGCACTGGACTCAGTTGTTTCAAGCACTTGTAACCCATACACTATGATTTGTACTTATCGTGTGGTTTTGGGAACTTTCCATTCGGCAACAAGCCAGCAGTACTTGGCTCTTTACGTGTTGACTCGCAAACTCCAGTAAAATTGTTCTGCTAACCCTTAACACAAAACTTGAACAAAACACAAGGAAAAAACCATAAGTAGCATTCAAAATTAAAATTTAATCGAAATCACTGCTTCACAACCCCACGTCCACATGGTGCAATTCTCAAAAGTACAGAGTCCTGCATCTATATTGAAATATGAGAGTGTTTTTCTGACTTAATCCGAGTGTATCATCACAACGTAAAATTCACACATAATAATAGATGCTACTGAAATAGCACGGATCTATGAATTGAACATGTTGGAGACTTGGGATAATGGTTTCGTTTAACTAAGGATGGAGATCTTTTATATAAGGTAGTACTTTAACAGAATCATGGCTGATGAAGTCATTTTAAATGTCAATGATACTATGCACAGTGTTGACAACTTGGTAACCGGGATAAGGAAATGGAGGGACAAAAGTTTGAGTGTGTGAGGCCACTCTTTATAAGTCCAAATACCTGCCCCCTAAAAAAGCAACGAGTGGTCGCTGCTACTTGTCTAAGACTTGAAGAATCACCTAGGCCATTACCTCACCTTGTCAACGTGCGTACGGAATCTCCAGTTCCGCTCTGGCAGGATCATTGGTAGAGCAGAGTGCCACTAAAAACGCTAAATGTATGCAGCAGGCTGCTATATCGGTATATATCGTCTATGACTTGATGAAATGTTGCAACACCAGCAAGACTTCTTGAAAGGCTTCCTTGAACAGAGAGCACGCAACTTCCCCCTCAGAATGTCGAGTTGACAGCATCTTGACGGCCCTGTGATGAGGGTCTGGGGCGAAAGTTTTATCTTGTGATCCGACCCACTTTAAACGAATTAAGCCAAATACGAGGCCCACACATCAGACGCAGCACACATGGTTACGCATTCGAGAAATTGTTTACCTTAAAGCCAAGTTTAGTTGGCCGGATCATCAATTGTTTATGCCTCAAAAGAGCTAATTTTGGTACAAGTTAATAAATTCTAAATAATGTGGGTTAGTTCGTTGCAATTTCCATGATTCAAGAGTGCTGTTTTACAAATCAATTCGGATGTGGAATAAGTTCTCTTAAAAGTAATTTGGATTGCAAGAGAAATAACATGCTACTTCCATCCCGCTTTGACTACGAGTATTACCACAAAAAGTGGCATTTGTTTGCTAATGCGGCCAAGGCATCAGTACATGTAACTGGAGGTCAAATCGAAAATTTTGCCAACAGTATATGAGGACCCAATGATTGCACTGGTGACCCATGCTGGGGTTCATGGGCTTTGGTGGCTGCTCCAGGTGACACAACTGACACGAGGTGCTTGTTTCTCCACACACCACCCCCAACATTGGGTGTGCAAAAGGCTCCTTGTAAAAACTCGACCAGGGAGTTGTTCTGCACTGATTCAAGCCACAACTTTTTCAAACGTCATTTTAAAACATTGAAAGTAGTAAATAGGAGGAGCACATTTTTGCCCATTATGCCTTTCATTTAGAACAATAAGAGTGTACCGTTCTTCTGCTTGTAGAAGCGAAAACCGTGGTAAAGGGGAAATTGTCTGTTACCTTATAACTTGGTTCATATGATTTTTGCGTGTGCATTTATGTGTATAATGAGAATCTACATTAAAATTACGAAAAAGACATCTTTTGTCGGTGTTTATTTTGATTGACAGATAGATTTAAGGTGAGCAACGGAAAACCAACGAATCTGTCCATTAAACATATTTGCATTCCCCTGTTTTGCAGTAATTTAACCCAAACGAAAAGCAGACGATTTCTAGTGGTTACCTTTTTTAATAACATCGATAGAATAAAGAATAAAATAGACCCGCAGGTTTTCTGATTGCGGTGGTGGCTGATCTATGATTTGCCATGTGAAAACCTTCCATAGACGTAACATTCCCAGAACAAAACTTGAATTCTCACATAGTGAATTTATTATTGACAAATAATGCGTTAAAAGTATTCTGGAGAAAACCTCTTTAAAGCCATTAATTTTACAGTTGTAAATTTGGAGTTGCAAGATCGTCACGCAAAAATACCAGTATCCGTGATGACATTCAGGCAAATTTAAAGGAGTAGTAGACACGTGAGAGGCAACAGCGTACATTAACTCAGGGTTATAAGCCGGTTGTAAGCTTTCTTTTAAGAAGCATCATCCCGATATTGCTGTCAGGCTAATTGAACAGGCACCCCTCAAAAGCTCAGTTACAGTTTTCTAGGATTAATTAAATTCGTTTCGCTACACTTTTAGCAGTTTGCTGTTTACATAAAACATGACCCGTTCACCTCGAAAATGCGTATTAATCTTTACTAGAGAGGCTGGGCAGAAGATGCCAACCAATCACATGTAGCCCATCCACAACCAATCAGACATGCTGCAAGTACACACGTTTCCCGAATTATTGGGCTACCTCTCCGCACGTAGGCGCCCTTTACCTAAGGCTGGTCACCTGACAAGCCTACATGGACATTCATTTCTGTTAGAATATCACATACATTTAGCTAGTTTAACTTTAGCCATGGTTTCCCTTTTATTTATCTCCTCCTGCTGAAAACATGGAGGAGTCGGCATTCCAGAAAGCGACCTTTCGTCTTCTGTTCATTCAGCTTATCCAGGAGGTACCTACGAGAATCCAGCAAAATTACATAGCCGTTTCAGTTCCTTTTTGATTTGAAGTAGTATGTATGGACGAGACGCCTTTTCTTCTTCTGGAACCCGAAGTTACGGCTCACTTCGTCATGGCAGCGGCCCCCTTGCAGGTTACACGCGCTCCACAACCGCCTCTCGCACAGGTGGTCTTGCTGATCGGTACCTACAAACCGCTAACCGAGGTAGTGACTCTTCAAAGTTCAACAGTTTTACCATACCCTCACGCACAAATGAATTGAAGTCGCGTTATGAAAGTGCTGGTGGTGGTAAATCGGATGATATCATAATTCCCCCACCAGAAGAGAAGCCGAGAATAAACATTGGCGGGCGATATCTCCAACGAGTGAACTCTCGTGAAGGCACAGGTGAGGGCCTACCAGCTCGAAGCAGTTGGAGGGAATCCGTCTATGGAGTCCAATACAATCAGCCAACAGCCAGCACCACTCCTAACGCAACCACACTGCGGTCTGATCGAAAGCTTCCGGAGATAGAAAAAAAACGCATGGAACAAGAAAAAAGAGTTCAGAATGATAAACTGAGACAGCAGAGCCGCGATGAAGAACAGGAAGAAAAGAGATCACGCCCAATCACGAGAAGGATCACTCGAGAGAAAGATGGGGTGTCAGTTGTCGATTGTGACTCTGACGTCCATCAGCCACAAGCAAAACGACAAGATTCGAATACAAAAGAAAAGGACACTACAGAGAGCAAACCTCTTCCACGACAATCCTCCTTCAAAGGTCCAGAGGTCTCGGGCTGGAAAGAGAAGAATCGGGTCAACTTAAGGCATAAAGGAGAGACGCAAAGTGTTCAAAACGAAGCCCAGATAGCGGTGAATTTCACAGATTTCGACGAATACCTCAGGGCGCATTTGGGCGGGAAGGTGAAGGACTGTCCTTGGTGCACTTACTATCCTGACACTGGGGTCGACGACATGGGAGGAGAGGTGTCCATTGTCTACAAAACGAAGAAAGCCAAGGAGTTGTTTACGAAGATGCCAACGGAACTACAACACCTCGTGGTACGTGCACAAAAACGACCTGTTGGGTTTGCGGCAATAATGGATTTATGCAAAACTGAGAAGTTTGGGAAAGAGTTTTCGGTGGAAAGCGAGCACAATTTTAAGGGCTATAACGACGTCGCATCGATGATGACGGATTTTGGATTTGATATGACAAAAGTGAGTCATGTTTCCGATGAATTTTGAGTCATTTCTGATGTTCACTTGAATAGGTCAGTGGATGTGCGCGTCGCCTGAATCGAAAAGTATTTAGATAACTTTGAAAACACTAAATATCAGTCTGGTTTTGCGGGTCAGGATCCACTTCCCATTGACAAGCTTGATTTTAATGTCATGTTTTGATCTCAGTCAATAATTTTTACGCAACCTAGTTTACTCTGAAAATTATCCGATGTCTACTCAAGAAGGATTTTGTGTCTCAGGTTTTGTGCACGTATTGTCAAGCTTTCTGTAGAGGACAGGGACAGTAGATGTTGAAACCTTATGAGCTAAGTGATTTTGTGGTTAGAAAAGTGTAGAACTGCTCCAAAAACGTAAAATACACGAACCGTTGAGCAGGTAAAGTTGTGTGAACATGGCATTACGTTATTCCATTTTTTTTTGAAAGTCTACGTGAAGATTACTGGATGTGAAAATTTTATGATGATGAATAATTGATAAAATAAATAAGACGACCTTTAATTTGTCATGAACGCTTTTACTTTCACTATACTATGGAAGGAATTTATTCATTTCATGGTTTTTAGATAAGAAAGTCAAGTAAATACATGATTTCGTAATTTAAGTCAATTTAGTTTACAAGCAGACTGTTGGGTCGCATGTTGAACCAAAACCGGCTGAGGTGTTCTGATTCATGGCCCGATCAAAATGGGCAAAGATTGAGTGAAGAGATTTCCGAAAATGTTCAAATCAATGAAATGAACCCATGATTAAATCCTAACTTGTATTGAAGACTTTCCACCATTCTCTAAACATGAATGTCATAAATTGCATCTTCTCTGGAGGTTGTCCCTAACAATTTGACATCATTTCAGAACCACTTAGGAGTAAAAATATTTGGCAGAGAAAATTGACAGCCAAATGATGCGCTTAATTGTGAGCAAGGTATACTTGTTCTAAACATTTTTCAGGAAAACTTTAAATGAAATGGGAATTCTAAAATGTCTCGAATTTTCCGCCAAAGTTCAATGTGTGGGCCCTTTGGGACATGACATACATCAAATTGGCTGTTAAAGTTATGCTACGTTCATCGCAGTTAAAACTGTGCATCAGTCTTCAGAACCACAGTGGTTCTCTTTCTGAGTCTTTGGTGAATTGTGATGGATTAGGTCCATCAACCCTCTCCAGCACATTCAAACGATCCACCCTACGCCCACCTCAGGATCCTATAAGTCATTTAGAAAGACACCTGATCATGCAGCCCTGTGTACACACCTACCCTGCTACCTTGCTGAGCATCTTATTATTCATTTACTAGCCCATCGAAATTCCATTGGTCGATGGCCTCCATCAATCATGCCCCTCCTGTGCATGCCTGTTGCTGCATGTACCAAGACGAGAGCAGCACATCGGGGCTGAGCCATCTAATAAATGGTTTTCTCACCTTCATTCCTGGTCTTCTTTTCCTTACTTAGGTTTCTGCATAGTATAACACGTTCTTCCACGCATGCAGGAAGTGAGGGACATGGATCAGTCCCTCGGCATAACTCCACTGAAAGAAATCACATGTTATCAAGGCAGATGAGTTTGAGAGCTACTCTAATGTCACATTGTCTATACCCTGGTAATTTCGTGTTAAGATGTGTTTGCGTTGTGAGCTTTCAGTTTAATGGAGTTACCTTTTGTTGAACAATGAATTGAGGATATTGCTTTGCTTCAAATACCTTAAGTAGTCAGTTCTGAAACATCCTAAGATTTTGTCCTTGCCGGTCGCCTTTTCATCAAAGAAAATTTGGCCAAACAAATAAGCAGATCTCTGGCTTTCTAGACTTTCGCCTTGCTTATAATTTCTTTTGGGCTAAGATTAAAAACAGCTGTCTGTTCTAGCATTTGTGGCCTTTGAGACCCTTTTCCCCTTGAACCTCCAACACCTATATCGTTGTTGGAGCTTGCTTATGGAATTGCGAAACAAATACAAGTTGCGAATTCACATTTGACGGGGATTAAAGGTGCTTCAGTACATGAAACATAGCTTCTATTCAAATAAACGGATTAAAATATACAGTATTATGTAAAAAACTGAACAAAATTTACACACTTCACAAGGTGAGAAAATGATGTCAAATTTTTAGGGACACAATTTCTTATTTCACGTATTCCATCGCTTAAAGTTTTGTATCGTTATACCTTATATGAATATGCTTATTATTAAAATGATGAAACGGCACAGCCACTTTAAATCTACTCTCTAACCTGACTTTAAAAACGAAGAGATAAAAGTCGATGGCATGAAAGATGTTATAAGAAATCCTGAATTTGCATTCTTAAATGGTTTAAAATAATTTAAAAATGAGAATGGCGTGTCAGTAAGATGTCTAAATAGTTGTAAATGTTTTTTTTCCGAGTTAACTGGATGATCAGGTAATTGATCAATTTAGATGCCCATGGCAACATGTGTGGCTTCAAAGGATTGATTAGCGATAGCCCAATTTACCCTGCACAAAGCCTGATTTCAGTCTTTTCTAAGAATTGCAAGACCGCAGATATTTTTGGATAAATTGATCGATATCGAATTGCTCCTCTACAGTTCTTCGACGCCTTATTTGCCACTTATTTCCCAGACTTTAATTAAAGGATAGGTAAGGTGTCAATTACTTTCAGCAAACATGAATTTTACCTTTCGTGGGTATATGAAATGCTACTGAATTTGCAAAACTGTCAACACAGCTTTCAGTGTATTCTGACAAATGTTGATGAATTACAACGAAGAAAATTGATAAATCAAGTTTAGTTCCCACCTTGTTTATGATTAACCATCCGTTTTGATATTTATGCGTTTATTTGGGATCATAAAAGCATAAGTTCTTCGTGTTTTGTTTGAATAAATGTCTGCTTATGTAAACAATGATGACAGTTGGTGTCATATCACAATGTTTTTTTATATGGAATAAGCAGATACAATTGAAAATTCTCAATCGTTGTATTTTAATATGCGCATAATACGATTTCACAAAAATGTTATTTTTCCCGTATATGTAGATTTAGAATTCGTGCAAACAATAATGTGGATGTATTTAATGCTTAACAAGCGGATGACATAAAAGATCAACTTTCATTTAGAGGTGACGTGTAGCAATATGTGGTATATGTTATAGTCTTTAAATTAAATTTTTGGGTTAAATGTACATTATCTTCAAGTTTATTATACAATTCCTTACAGACCTCCAATATTGGAAAAAGGCAAAATTATGGAATACAAATAGCACAGTTTTGCATAGGGAAAAAAGTGCAACAACCAGCGTCTGCCATAGCACGTTAAACTTATAGCAATTAAGGAAACCAAAGCACAAAAAAATAACCATTTTGAACAACAAAGTACTAATTTTAGAAAGATGACTCTTACGGCAATGCAAGGTGCATCTTAAGGTTGCATATTAGTGGGTATTAGACATTGTCGAAAAAATAGGCATACATTTGATTATGCTAATAGTTACGCCGCATTCATCACAAACCCATAAACAAATTTGAGCGAACCTTTGTACAGGGTGGCTTAGAGAATTATAAATCTATCAAATTAAAATTGGTCTAAATTAGCAAAAATATATAAGTTCTACGTGCGCTTCTGATAGGAGACAAAGTGGGAGCGAATTAGGAAACTTTTGGTAGTACCAAGCGTTTTACTTTATGCTCTAAAATTGTTCAACAAGTAATCAATGCAAACCAAGTGCCAAACTTATCCTAGGATGCGCATTATAAGTCCTTGTATTCTAACGGCACTTTCGAATATTTTAAATAAGCAATTATTTCCTGCAATTTAAATCAAGTGCAAACACGGTTATTTGGTATTATTAAGGATATGAGGCTGTGGAGATAGAGATTATTTACACGCACATACGTGAACAAAGAAAGCAGTCCTTATTCCCATAACCGGTAGCCAACAGC